TAAGGACACCGACTTGCCCCCTCTCTGGTCACACAGAGCATCCTTGTCATCGACTCCACCACCACACTTTGAAATCAGGCTCAAATCATCCAGAGCATTTACCACACTGTGCTTTTCAGTCTTTACTCATCAAAAGCTGCAGTGACAGGCAGCAGAGCCCTCAGAGCCCCATCTTCTCCCAAATGATACAATACTCATAATAATCACAGCAACAACAACAACAGTTACAATAACCCTCCATCCTTCACACACCAGACGAAGATGAGTCAGACTCCATTTCCAAACTAAGACATCTCGCGTGCTATTCTCCCTCCCCTCCAGACTAATAGCTGACAATGTATGCCTTCCACATTAATGATAAGGGTTCAAGGGTAAAGAGACTGCTCTCCTGTTTCGCTGACATTACACTCTCCTATGTACCCACCAACATACCCTAAGGCAACAGAACTAGTAATAGGTTCCTCTAACTGCCTCCTGCATCAAATTTGACACCGGGTGCTTTCTTCTCCTTTCCCATCGCTCACCTTATAACTCTGTCATCATCATTGATTTTGACTTAAGGAGAGAAAAAAAAAAAAAAACAACCCAGCCCTCTCCCCCTTCTTGTACAGCACCAGGGTGGTGAAGAACAGCAGCTGCTGCGGGGACTTGGAGCAGGGAAGAGGCAGGCCAAGGGGGCTGTCTCTATTTTGCTTGAGTCTCAGTTGTGGAGGGACTGAGGCCGCAAGTTGGCAGCGTTTGCTGCACCAAGCAGACTGGCTTTGCAGCCCCAGGACCCCATTGCTGGCTGTGGGGATGCTTCCTGGATTGCAGGCAGCACCGTTCAGGTGCTCGGTGGCACTTTGTGCTGGGCTCATCTTACCACTGAGGTCAGGATTTGTTAATTTTTAGGCAGCACTCCTTTCTCCTCCTTCTGTCATCCACAGAAAAGATATCTGGAGCAATCTCTCTCTACCTCTGGACTATGTCACTCTATATAGTGAAACCCCCTCTGTTACATCCCCAAATTCTCCACATCGCCATCTGCAGCAGAGGTGATGCCTGGTCCCAGCAAGCTGTCAGTCCTGGCAGTGGGAAGGGGTGAGTGGTGGCTTCACCATGGAGAGGTGAAGGACCCTTCCTAGGAGCAATCCTGGGGAAGGTGACAGGTATGTCCCATGGGGCAACAGATAACAATTTCTCCTCAATTCAGTTATCAGATGATCAAGGCTTTCATTCACTCCCAGAGAAGAGGGCTGGGCTCCCGCGCCAGCACCGGCTGCTTCCCGGCGTGATGCTGCCAGGAGATACCTCAGTCCGACTGCCAGCGCTCGTCTTTTGCAGCCGCATCCCAAGATCTGCCTTACAGTGGGCCATAACCGTGCTGAAGAGGAAGGAAGCTGTCAAAATCCCCCAGCACGGGGCAATCCCTCCTGCAGCCCTGCCTGAGCGATCTGGGAGAGCAGCAGGCTCCTCCTGTCTGGTTTCTTAGCAGATACACAGAAGTGAATCCCCAGAGTGTGGCTGACCCGCAGCTGGTGTTTTCTTTGATTTATGTCAGAGCCTATTTACGTCCTCTGCTTAAAACAATCCAGTTTGTGTCAGCAGTAAATGAAACTGTGTACCATCCAGCAGCTGTTTGGCTGCTACCTGAAATGAGTTTCACTCCAGTTCTTATCAAGCAGAAATCCTTTTAATCATCAAAACCGCCACAGCCTTGTTGGAGCTGTGATGGTGTGGTGATAATAACAGGGGAAGGCATATTGCAACCCAGGGACACAGCAAGAGCCCTGGAATTGTTGGTGATTTTCTTCCAGGGCTGTAGCCGCTTTGGACACAGCAACGTGTATAAATGAGAGTTGGTCTTTGGCTGCAGGGGCCAGTTCACAAGGTTTAACTGGGGCTGTAAGGGCAAGACTGGACTGAATGTGGTGCCAGATGGCCTCTGGCATTTTCACCACTGTCTCGCAGGCTCGTTACAGTGAAAACACCAGCAGCCACTAAGATCTGCTTACTTTGAAGTTCTTGCTACTGATAAAGCCAATACAGCATATGGGGACCAATTCAGGAAAAACCCAGAAGAGATGGAGTTTGAATCCATGCTGCAGCCTTTACACCCTGATGAGTCTCCTAGTGAAGGACTTAACTAATGAGGCTGTTGGCGGGGAGTGGGGATGCCACACAAGGAGCAGGGAACATTTGCCCAAAGCTATTCTGAATTCATTAAAGACGACAGTAAGAGTGGGGCTGCTCCACTCAAGGACCCAGCACGAGGCCACATAACCTGCTCGTCCCACCGAAAACTAATGATCACAGCTTGACTAGCGAGTATCAGATGCTCTCAACATGTTGCTTGCAAACAAGCTGCAGACCAAAAGCAATTCGAAGGAATTATTTGGGAAATAATTCTAAATAATGAATGAATGGAGAAAACTGCAAGCTGTTTACAGATAACTCACTGCAGAAAAGAGCTGAATTTGCTGAGCAGATGATTCACTATTGATTATTTCCCCAGCTCTATCTGTAACCTTATTTAAAGCATTAATTAAGACAAGTCTTCATAGTTCAGCATATTCTAATCTGTTACAGGAGGAAGAGCTCTTGAGAGCTCAGACCTGCCCTCCTGGAAGGAAATCTGAAGACTCACACCTTGTTTCTGGTTCCTGCCTGGCCAGGGAGGAGTTGGGGGGACACTGAACAGAGCTGAGCGCCAGCCTGTCCAAAAGCCATTGACATCCCCGTAGCTGACGCAAACATTTCAGCAGGTTGTGGGCTGGGGCCTGTGGGCACCAGGGTGTGGCAGCGGAATATGGGATCCCACCTGCCTGTTGGCTGGATTTCAAACAGGACAGCTGCCTCTTGGGATAAAGCCTTTAAAGACAACCAAGGCAATCTGGCTATCCCGGTGGATGGCTGCCCTCAGATGACCTGTTGCCAAGTCTGCCCCCAATAACAATATATAAATGCTACTCTAAAGCGTGCCCCAGAATGACACTGAGTGTGCAAGTGACCCTTGCCAGCCAAGTGACCCACCCAGCCCTTTAGAAGGGTCGTCACTGCCTCCCTGGGCTTCAGCTCTGGCAGTCTCGATATCGGCTCCTGTAATCAACAGGGTGCCCAGAAGCACAGAGCTCCTGGGGTTATATTAAGAAAAAGGAACCTGCATTTCCTTTCAGTTATATCAAGTGACTACAACTGCACCTACCACTAAATCCGCTGAGCAATGGCACATGCATAAATGCAAACACACTGGCAGCCAGTCTACTCTTCAGTCAGCGACTGGCACCCATAGGTATGTCTCGCTGACAGGAACACAACTCCAGCCCGTGCTGACAGCACGTCACCAAGCACACCTCCAGCTAATGAAACACATGGCTGCGTCTTCTGTGACGCATGGACGCGAAAATCCAACAGAGCAATCCAATCCAGCACAGCAAGATTTCTGACTCAAAACCCAGAGGAATATGGCTCATGGTGCTGAGGGGAAGGGGCAAGCTGCTGCTCCCCCGTTGCTCTCCCCAAGCTGGACCTGCAGTCTTGTTTGCTCTGCAGAGCCATAGATCCTCCGCCTATCATCAGCCCAGGATTGTTGGCACAGCACTTTGCAGACAGATGTGTGCTTGCTTTCCCCATATCCTGAAGAAACAAGGATGCCATAACCTGGCACCTGACTGAAGCTAAAATAAGAGTATTTCAACCAGCTGATTAGCTCAGCATTGCCCAAAGCATGTTTGCATCATTTCTGGATGACTTGGAATATGGGCAGAGCAAGTTATCATCTGCGTTAGGCAAGCCCAGTATACAACAATTTTATATACAACTTCTCATAACTTTGTTTCAGGAAGAAAAGCTCAGGCAATAAAGTTTTGACCAGCTCTCAAATCCAGGCAACCAATGACTCTGGTCTTTTTAGGCCATTTCCACATCCACTGTGAACTACCATAGCTTTTCCCAAGAGTCATCCTTAGTTCACATGGGTAGGATTTGCCAGCAGAGCCACCAGGCCCTTTCTTGTCACTCAGCACTATTTGGTGTAGTGTTCACTCAGCATCACATCATGGTCAAGCCATGACCAGCTGCACAGCCCACACAACCTTAATTTTTCCTAATTTATGCATAGAGATTAAAAGCAAGATTCCAGCAAAAGCTCCTATCTCCCCCATCAGACGCAATCAGCCACAAGCTGTGTCTCACAGGGCTCAACTTTGAGGTAAAGTTAGGCTTGACCACTAACTAAGGAAGGATAGCAGGAAAGGAATTAAAAATTCAAAAAAGAAAGATAGCATAATCAGTTGAATTTTAGCACCATGTCTAGATTTTTAACAATTTCAACATTTCTACAGACTATTTTTGGCATATAATGAAAATTATTTCATATCGTCTTAGCAAGAAAGCCTTGTCAAGATTGCAAATGTTTGAAATAACCATTTGAAGGACACATGGCATAACATCCAATTTCTCCTAACCCAGGTGTTCAAGTTTAACCCTTCAAGGTGACCACATAGAAGCAGATAATACTACATCATTCACAGCTGCATTGGTTTTTACATACACAAATGTGGGATGGGGCATATTTCCCTTCCCTATATGTTTATTAAAAGCATGCAAAAAGGGAAAGAAAATAAAATCTCAGTAGCTCACTTCACCTGTATTTATATCTCCATCTGCCCTGTCAGTCCCGTGACTGGCACTGGAGGTCATACGCTGCCCTGGTCTCACCACCACCTCGTATGGCCAGGTGGGCCACATGGGGCCGAGCTGGTCACAGGTGGTCACTGGGTTATGACCCGAGCCACTCGGATACGTGCACACAAGCCTCTCTGCTAGCCCTCAGCCAGCCCCATGACCCCCCACACCAGCACTGGGGCAGGCTGAGAGGTCTGCTTTGATCTGGGTTTTGGCTGAGCAACAACCATGCCAGGCCAACCCATCTCCTCCCAGTCAGGTCCCACACAGTTGCACAGCTCATCACCAAACACACAAGGAAATATTTCTCATGAAGATTGTCTGAAGTAAAATCCCTACCTGCTCTTGCCTCCTTCGAAGACTGTTTTCTGGTAAGGGTTTATCTGATGGTTTGTCCTTGGCTGAAAGACAGAAAAAAACAAAGAACAAATGCTTGTCAAACAGCAGTTTGGTTAGAAAGGATGGAGCACTTCTACATGGGAGGAAAAGATGCATTTTGTGTTTACTTTCATTACTCTCCATTGCATGCAATACCCACTTAAAAACTTCCATAATTCTCTCCACCCAGTTTATCTTACTTTTCCATTCCCCAAACTCTTCACCCTCCAAGAGCAAATGTATTGCTAATTAGGACAGAGGAACAGATTAAGTTAAAACAGGTGGGTCTCCTTGCTGGTGCTGTTGCTTTCCATGCCTCTCTCCAACCCAAAGTCAATCTAAAGCTTTCAGGGAATTCAAGCAAATTTTCATGAACATGGATATAACATGCGTCCCAAAAAAAGATGTATCAGAATTAGAAACCACGTGCGGAAGGATGATCAAAATGATGAAAGACACAGAATAGCTCTTGCAAAAGAGGATGTGCAAAAAGCACATGTGCGTGCCACTGCACCCTCCCACGGACAAGCCTTGCTTTGTGTGTTGTAGATACTATTTTCCTTGTCTGAATTTCCTTTAGTTTGAAAAATAAGCGCCTTTGTTTTAGGAGCAGAGTGACCTGCATCCATCTTCTCTGAAGTTCCTACGTCTGAATTTGTTGTGGTGGAAAAATTATGCATTTTGTTGTCAAGCTGCTGTATTTCCTGGACAAACCTGCTTTGGCTGTGGAAGAGCAGAGACATCGGGAGTCTGCTTGTATGTTTTCTCAGCTACAGAGACTTCTAGAGAACATCTGTGCAATGCAGACATGCTTAGTGGAGTTTATGGTAATATAAAATGATGTTGCATCTAATTGTCTTTAAAGATATTTCTGGGGAACCTGAACAATAAAACTTGCAAAAGTTTCATTGGGCTCACACTATGTTTTATTTGCCTCACTTCTAAGACCTAGCACTACCATCAGGTTTGATCCCATTATTTGGGAGGGATCCTATGGGAAGAAACCATTGTGCACATGTACCATGCTTGGGAGCAGTCCAGGAAAAGCCACTCCAGCCTCTGGTGGAGCAGCCTTTTCACCATCCCCTCAACATGCTGAGAAATATGCCCATGGTTAGTACAACTGACACTGCTGCCAATGGGAAATATTTAGGCCTAAAACCCTCTGTGAAATAAATACCTTGGCATGGGAGCGAGCTTTTTGCACCAGATGGACCCCCTGGTCTCTTGGTAAATCCAGTTCTTAGGCTTTGCCACAAAGAGGCTTAAAATTAATTAGCAGGTTTTTGGTTTGGGTTTTTTTCTTTCTTTTTTTTTTTTTTTTTTTTTTTTTTTTTTTTTTTAAGAGTTCTGTGTACAAGGAGTGTGTGAGAAAGGACATTCATTAGGAGCTTTTCAGTACTTATAGGCCAAGATGAGGATTTGCAGTTTGCAGGAGTGTTCCTTGTATACCTGGCAACTTCAGACTGTTAAATTTCTTAAGCAGATGCCCTGAAGATTAAAACATTCCCTATTTTCCCAGAAAGACAGTCAAGAAGGGGAAAGTTTTCTGATTTTCTAAAGGTGATCACTTTTACCAAAAAGCATCTGCCCCATTTGGTCCCCATTTCTGGAGAGCCGTCATGCAGCAGCACTGGAAGGTTTATAGGTGTTGAGAGCTGATACTTGTGCCATGGAAGAGGACCCTCCCACAAGCAAACCACCACCTTCAGCTACTGAGAGCTGACTCGTCCGCTGCTGACTGTAAACAACTACTGAGGTTGTTCTGCAACAGCACCCACTGTAACTGCTCTGAGAACACAGGTAGATGGTAAGATATCTGGCTAGTTAAGCAAATCACTCAAAAATATCCTTCAAACATTTGCTCCCATATTAATTCATTCCTTGACGTTGGCAGAGTTGTTTTCCAAAGCGTAAACGTTGGTGACGCTTTGGCGGGAGTGGGGTTTTGAACAGGGACATGCAGTTGCCTCCCCTGGCAGCATGGTTTCCAGGAACTGCACTTTTTCCACTCAGAAATAAACCCAGACAAGGTGTCTGCAAGTCCCTGAAAGCCTGCCAGCACAGCTCACTTTTCGGAGTGTTCACCCTTGCCCTAACCTTGCCAGGAGCCAAGTAGAACCACAAACAATTCACAAAAGCATTAATTTAGTAATAATTTTTAAAAACGTAGATAAAGCACTGGGAGGACACATCCACAAGTTAAAGTTTTCATCCACTCTGGGGGACAAGAGAAGATCCCTCAGTGTTGGAAGTGAAGCGCTGTGACACCATTCAACGTTTTTTACCATCTGCAGCACTGTGCTACCTCCCCAGGATCTTGCAGTGCCCATCAGCACATGGGAGAGGAGGAGATGTGTTCAAAAACGTGTATGAGCAATACGGTGCAGCACATGTTGGCATTTCATGGTCTGCCTTCTTTGTCAGAGTTCACACGAGAAGGTTTGTGCTGTCAGGCTGCTGCACTGCAACAACAACAGTGTTTTTCCAGAAAGAAACGTACAACTTTCTGCTGTGTTAGCAATACTATCCCTGGCTTCTTTAGTCTTTAATAAATCCTACAAGTATGAACTGATTTACATATGAGCCTCTAGTGACCAAACCTGAACCAAATTACAGAAGTTTTTCTTAGTCATAAATCCACCTTCCATGGACACGCTGCTGGCTACCAACAATGAGCAAAATCCCTGATTTTGTTAGAAAACTTCCTAAACTCAGTCTTGCCTATATTATGTACTTTTCCCCTCTGTTTTGCCACTCATAATATTTCTGGAGAAATTTCCTTTAGGAAGAGACTGCTGTGAGTGTTTTGCTGATGGTGTTTTGGATCAGCTCTGAGCAGTGCCGAGCAGCACCCTCTTTAAAGCTCTGTCAGCCTGCCCGCTCAGCCATGCTCTCTCCCAGCTAGCTACTCAAGCAGCACCAAAAATGGGAAATTCAAGAAGAGTTAGACTAGTTTAGAATTAGAAATGTTATTCAGGGACTCAAAGAGCCAGAAACACAGGAAATCCTAAGCAAAAATGACATAATTTGTAAAAGGAGAAGTTGTCTGAAGTTGGTAAAGTGGATTGCAAATATCCTGCTATCCCAGGTTTGGTCTGAGATAACAGAGAAACTCACATCTTATCCTTTAAATTAATAGAAATGGAAAATATATCTTTATAGGACTTGAGATTGCACAGATATTTGGAAAGAGAAGTTCACATGAAAAAGCTGGGTTCCCAGGACAGAAATCCTTCCCCACTCCTAATGCCAAGCTGCTAAGAAAAATTTGGGGCAATGGCTATAGCAACCTGAATCATCAATATTACTCCACTGACCCAGTTCTTACTCTCAATTTCCTATTCTATTCTAATAAAGGTGGATTTCATGTACCGTAATCTAAGAATAGCAGGGATGAGGGTATTTGCTGTAAGGAAAGCATAAAGAACATAGTATTACCAGACTAGACTACATACAACTATAACTGTTCAAGTATTAAATCCATTTTTCACCATCAAGAGTGTTATCCAACAGCATGAGAAATACAAGCAGGAGAAAATATTCTCAAGTGAAGGAATTGATGGTCAAAGCCTGAAAGTTTGGTAAAATGCTTTTCCACTTCATGTCCTACAAGCTGTCAGCACTGGGATGGAAAACCACAGATCAGTAATTGCAAAGGACACTTCTTCATTCTTATACTGTCTCTGTCTGTAAGGCAGGAGGATGGCAAGTTAATTAATTATCTCCAGCATCAGTTTACTTGAAGATCTTTTTTTCCAGCAGTGCATCAAAGGAGACTGATAGAAGCCTTGATTAGAGGGATAATGAAGGAAATCTTTAATAGATTATATCATTTCTTGCCCGTCTGCAGCCATTCTCAAACTGGCTGCTTTCACAGGTCTGGGATTCACATCTGGAAAATATCACAAGCATGTAAATCCACCTCAAATGCAAAATTTATGGAAAAATTCAAGTAATTGCATGTTTACCATATTTCTGTCAAAGGTCTGGAAAAAAGATATCAGACCATCTGACTTGCTATAAAGCAGAGATTTTCCATGGGTCCTGTTAGGGTCTCTGACTCCCTGGAGATAATCCATATTTTGAAGCCACATCAGACATGGATAGAGAAAATTTATTAGATAATATAGAGCAGGACGAGAGCAGAGGCAGGAGTAGAGCATATGCTGACGTGGGGGTAAGACAGGCAGTTTGATGTCTACCTTGATATCTGTCCTAGGAAGCCTTTTACTAACAATGACCGTTAGCAGGGGCCACAGTTGAGGTGCTTTACACGATATTTTTTTTTCTTTCTAATCTTGCCTGCTTTCATCTGCAACACAGCATCTTGCTCAGTTCTTACTTCAAGACCAACAGGAGCTCTCTCAGGGCAAAGTTTGTTCCCACTGCGGGAAGGAAACTTTGGTACTGCAGAGTCCAGGCTCTCCATCCCCATCACACCAGTGCCCCATGGTTCATCTCGGCCTTTGAAGTCCCTTAGGGACTTTAATGCCATTTCTCTCTTACCCAGACCACGCACATGCTGCCAAATCTAATAGCGAGGAGAAATGAAGTGTCAGGTTCTGATACACCAACACATCATGCTGATTTCTATCTCACACTGATAAACCCCAAGCCATTCCCAAGAAATACCAGTGGCACATTTAAGCAATTTATTTCTTTTAAGATGACACTGAAGATTCTCCCCTGGTGGTATTTGGTGCTTAATAAACTATTGGCGGCACTAGTTGTGCCGACCCTTGGATGCTCAGGCACCCCAGCACCAACATCTGAAGTGAGAATTTGAAAAAACACTCTGCTAACAAAGGAATTATTAATCTCATAAAAGAAACACAGAGGGAGACCACCATCACCACCTCGCCCATCAGAGCCATGCTGCTCTTTCACATGCATCTCCATAAGGAGGTGACTGGTGACAGCCAACATGGCTTCACTAAGGCCAAATCGTGCCTGATGAATTTGGTGGCCTTCTACAATGTTGGCGAATAAGGGAAGAGCAACCGACATCATCTACCTGGGC